AATAATCACACATATTTATCAGATACTTATGATATTTTGACATATCCATGCAGTGTGTAATGATCAAATCAGGGTAATTGGGATATCCATCACCTAAAATGTTTATCATTTCTTTGTGTGAACATGGGCATGCAGATATTTCTTGGATATACTTATTTATTTTCTTTTGGATATGTACCCAGCAATGGGATTGCTAGATCATATGGTGGTCCCACTTTTGTTCTTTGAAGAACCTCCATACTGTTTTAGATGGTAGCTGTTAATTTACATTCCCACCAACATTGTAGGAGAGTACCTCTATCTCTATATCCTTGCTAGCATCTGTTACTTTTTGTCTTTTTGATACAAGCCATTTTAACTGGGTGAGGGATGGCATTGCATTGTGGTTTTCATTTGCATTTCCCTGATGATTAGTGATGTTGAACATTTTTTCATAGACCTGTTGACCATCTGTATGTCCTCTCTTGAGAAATGTCTATTCAGATCATTTGCCCATTTTAATTGGATTATTTGGTTTTTTTGCTGTTGAGTTGATTGAGATTTTTATATATGGTTATTAATTCTTTGCCAGATGGATAGTTTGCAAATATTTCCTCCCATTCTATAAGCTGTTCCTTCACTATATTGTTTTTTTGTTGTGTAGAAGCTTCTTGGCTTAATGTAATTTCATTTGTCTATTTTTGTTTTTGTTGCCTATGCTCTTGAAGTCTTATACAAAAAAAATCTTTGTTCAGACCAATTTCCTGAAGTGTTTCTCCAATACGAGTAGTTTTATAGTTTTAGATCTTATATTCAATCTTTTACTCATATCAATTTGATTTTTGTGTATAGTAACAGATAGGATATAGCTTCATTCTTCTGCATATGGATGTCCTGTTTTCCCAGCACAAATTATTGAGATGATTGTCCTTTCCTCAAAGTATGTTATTTGTAACTTTGTAGAAAATGATTTAGTTGTGAACATGTGGATTTATTTCTGGGTTCTCTATTCTGTTCCATTTTTATGCCAGTACCATGCTGTTTTGGTTCCCACGCTGTTTTGGTTACCACATCTTTGTAGTATATTTTGAAGTTGGATAGCATGATGTCTCCAGCTTTGTTCTTGTTGCCCAGAGTTGCTTTGACTGTACAAGATCTTCTGTGGTTCCATAGAAATTTTATGATTTTATCTATTTTTTTGAAGAAGATCATCAAAATTTTAATAGGGATTACATTGAATCTATAGATCATTTTGAGTAGTATGGACATTTTAATAATATTAATTCTTCCAATCCATGAACATAGGATATCTTTCTTTTTTGTGTGTGTCCTCTTTAATTTCTTTCATCACTGCTTTATAGTTTTAATTTTAGAGATTTGTGGCTAAATTCATACCTAGATATTTTTTGTAGCTATTGTAAATGGGATTGCTTTCTTGATTTCTTTTTCAGATAGTTAGCTGTTGTGGTCTAAAAATGCTACTGATTTTCACATGTTGATTTTGTATTCTGCAACTTTACTAAATTCATTTATCAGCTCTAAGAAGTTTTTGGTGGAGTCTTTAGGATCTTCTAAATATAAGATCATATTGTCTGTAAATAAGGACAGTTTGACTTCTTCCTTTCCAGTTTGGATGCTTTATATTAAGGACAGTTTGATTTCTTCCTTTCCAGTTTGGATGCTTTATATTTCTTTCTCTTGCCTAAGTCCTCTAATACTACCAGTATTATGTTGAATAAATGTAGTAAAAGTTGGCATCCTGGTCTTGTTCCAGCTGTTAAAGTAAAGGCTTTCAACTTTTCCCTGTTTAGTATGAGGGTTTATCATATGTGGCCTTTATTGTTTTGAAGTATGTTCTTTATTTACCAAGTTTGTTGAGTTTTTATCATGAAGAGGTATTGAATTTTATCAAATGCATTTTCTGTGTCTGCTGAGATGATCATATGGTTTTTCCTTTATCCTATTGATGTGTACCATATTTGTTGATTTGTGTATGTTGAACCATCCTTGCATCCTTGGGATAAATCCCATTCAATCTCTGAGTATTATCTTTTTGATATATTGTTGGATTCAGTTTGCTAGTATTTTGTTGAGAATTTTTCTCCTGTTCATCAGGGATATTGGCCTGTAGTTTTCTTTTTTTTGTTGTATCCTTGTCTGGTTTTTGTATCAGGGTAATGCTTGCCTGATGGAAGGAATTAAGAGGAATTCCATTATCTTCAATTTTTTGAAATAGTTTGAGAAGAATTTGTATTAGTTCTTTAAAACCTTGGTAGAATCCAGCAGTGAAGCCATCTGGCCCAAGGGTTTTCTTTTTTGGGAGACTTTTTATTACTGAGTCAATCTTATTGCTTGTTATTGGTCTGTTTAGCTTTTCTATTTCTTCCTGGTTCCATCTTGGTAGATTATATGTATCTAGGAACTTGACCATTCTCTCTAGGGTTTTCACTTTATTGGTGTATAATTGTTCATAATAGTCTCTAATGATCCTTTGTATTTCTGTGGTATCAGTTGTAATGTCTCTTTTGTTGATTTTTTATTTTATTTATTTGGGCCCTCTCTCTTTTTTTCTTATTTAGTTTAGCTAACAGACTGTGGGTTTCATTTATCTTCTCAAAAAAAACTTTTTGTTTTGTTAATCCTTTATATGTTTCTTTTAGTTTCTATTTTATTTAGCTTTGCTCTGATCTTGGTTATTTCTTTTCTTCTACTAATGTTGGGTTTAATTCTTGATTTTCTAATTCCTTGAGATGTAATCATCATGTTGTTTATTTGAAATCTTTCTACTTTTTTGATGTAGGCATTTATTGCTATAAGCTTCCCTTTCAGTACAGCTTTTTTTGTATTTCATAGGTTTTGCTATGTTGTGTTTCATTTTTCATTTGTTTCAAGAATTTTTTTATTTCCTTCTTCATTTCTTCATTGACCCAATGATTATTAAAGACTATATGATTTAATTTTAATGTATGTGTACACATTTGTATAATTCCAAAGTTTCTCTTGTTATTACCTTATAGATGCATTCCATTGTTGTCTGAGAAGATACTTGATATGATTTCAATTGCTTTTATGTTTGTTGAGACTTGTTTTGTGGCCTAATTTTTAGCCTATCCTGAAGAATGTTCTATATGCTGATGAGAAGAATTTGAGTTCTGTAGCCAATGGATGAAATGTTCTATAAAAGTCTGTTAGGTCCATTTGTTCTATACTACAGTTTAAGTCCAATGTTTCTTAGTTGATTTTCTGTCTAGATAATCTGTCCATTGCTGAAAGTGGGGAGTTGAAGTCCCCAACAATTGTTGTATGGAGGTCTATCTCTCTCATTAGTTCTAATATTTGCTTTATATATCTGCTCCAGTGTTGAGTGCATATATAGATCTATAATTGTTCTATCCTCTTGCTGAATTAGTCACTTTATCATTATATAATGACCTTCTTTGTCTCTTTCTTTGTTTTTTGACTTAAAGTTTATTTTGTCTTATACAAGTATGGCTATTCCTGAAAGCTTTTTGTTGTGTAGACCATATAATACAATGCTTGGGACAAAACAAGTACTCAGTAAATAGCCATGACATAAACAAGGTCATACTGAATTGAAGAAGGGTACCTAAGATATTCAGATGGGATTTTGTGGGTTTTGTTTCTATTTTACCCTGGAGTATTATACAGAAGATGTTTCCATTCCTAGAGCACTGAGGCACATTACCTCTAAGGATCACTCCAATTCTAAGATTCTAAGTCTTTATTATTTTATAACTAAATATCTCAAGTCATCACTCACCTTTTCTATTGGTTGCCTAGTCATCATTAATTTGTTAAGAAAGGACACTCAACAAATGCTGAACCCAGTGTGGGGCCATTGCAGGCACAACAGTGAAGGAAAGAGACTGATGAAGAGTGATCACTTCATATCAGTCAACAAATGCATAAAGCAATCAAGACATGCTAAGTCATCATATTGTGCATGCACACACAATAATGGCTAACATATTGAATGAGATGACGCATGGTGGACACTGTGCTTGGCATTTTGCATGCATTATCTGACTTAAATCTCATAACCCTGAGATAGGTACTCTCGTTATCCCCATTTCACAGAAAAGGAAGCTTAGGCTTAAAGAGATTTAAAAGTTACCTGAGGTTATACAGCTAGGAAGTAGCACAAATTCAGGCTATCAAAGCCCAAGTTTGACCACTCTACTACCTGCCTATAACAACTCTTCCAGCATTTTAAGAGAATAAATGAATGCCACACTGCTTTTTCATTCCTTTTTTATTTTAATTCATAAAGTGTTCCATACTGTCTTGGTGAAGTAGAAAATCAGCAAGTACTAAGAATAAAGTAATGTATTGGAAAACCAGGTTCTGATCATAATTTGGGCTCTAAATAGTGGCCAAGTCATTTAAAATCTCTGTCCTTGCTCATCCTCTATTTTAAAATAAAGTTATAGTGTTTTACCTCCAAAAATCTATTTTATCACTGCAAATTGATTAACTGATTAAGAGTTGATTTCATTGATTAACAGTATAGATTTTCCTAACCATCACAAAATGTCTAGAGGTCACTTCCTTGGCATTGACCTGAAAGGATCAGTAAGACAGAGCATTGTCCCATTTAAATCTCCAAGACCTGGCACTTTATTTTTCTCCTTGACACTTTTGCTTTGGGATTTTACTTTCCACTGCAAAGTCTCTTCTCCTAGAACTTCATTATCTCTACTCGAATTCACTTTGTAACCAAAGTACAATTAAAGGAGAAAATTTTGTAACAAAATCCAACTGCTTTGTCTATTCAAGACTGAGGATTATCTTTGAAATCAAGGACATTATTAGATTTATAACTACCTTATCTGAGGGTGCTAGTCTTTGGCATTCCTGAGAAACCATAGCATACTATTAATGGTGAACAAATCCTTTGATTTTATGAAGAAAATACACTCATTTCTAGAGTTAGTCATGGGAGGATGAAGAAGAGAGGACATCCTCCTAATCATCAATTATGGAGGTTCTCTGCCCATGAAAACATTTTTTTTTCAGACCTTCAGGTCTTTCAACCATTAGGAATGAAGCAGGGATATACAAAGTGGCATCAGCCCATTAGCACTGTTATCATTCTCTCCAATACCACTAGTTTCTTAGCTGATAAATCAGTCATAGCTTTCCAATTCCTCCAGTGGAAAAATTCTTTGAATATGGCTTTTGAAAACACATTAATGTTGACAAGTTGGACTGCCTGGTTTTGTTAGTAGGTGACAACTGATAAACAGGCCCATCCTTTACATTGCTGCTGTAAAACAGACTAACACAATCTTAGTACAAAACAATTTTCTGACTCTGGTAAGTGGCTACATAAAAGGCCAAAAGATATCAAATTTTTTCCCAAATTCAGTTAGCACTAAATGAACTCCCCAGGAGGTACTGAATAGAAGAAAGGGAAAATAGAGATGCCAGTGATATTACAAAGAATTAAATTTGAAAGCCCATTGCCACCTAAGAGGAGTTTGGCACTTTTTTAAAAGCTGTTACTGAGCACCTACTTTACCCTAGGTGACATGAAGGTAAAGAATACTATCCTTGCCTCAAGGAGTTCACTGAAGGAAATGGTGAAGCAATCAGACATTTCAAATTTAGAGTTGAGTGCTTTCCTCACCACAACCCAACACACTCCCAACAGACTCGGACACACAGAATCAGTTCACACCCCGCTCCTGGAACAGCTGGATCCGGAGCTAGAAACCACAGGATGAGGCGTGAGACTTTGTGCATCCATCTCTACGGCAGCAACCCCAGCCATCGAAACCCACAGAACGCTGAAGCCCTGCGTCTTTGGACGCTGCTGCCAAAGCTCTCGCTGACTCCATCTGTGTCACCACCATTAACATCACACCTCCTCAACATCCCAGGGCAGAGCCCACTTTTGACATTTTCACACCAGCAGCCGGTCAGATTCTGAAACGAATGTTTGTGCTGTTGACATGTCATCCTCTTTCAGCCCTCTTACATCAGCCTGTCCGCCGTGCCTTCCTCCGGCACTCCTCGGCGGGGACCGCAGGGCGGCCGCACAAACAGGACAGGAAGTAAGCCTCACGTCATGGAGTCCCTCCACAGGAAATGAGTAACTTGAGGAGAAATATTAGTGTTCCGAGCGTCCTCACCCCATCCTCTCCTGCTTTCGTATTTGCAGTCCCGCTAGCTCGTGTGTTTTATTTCTCCACACCCTTTTCCCTGGTGGAGAGAAGCTGGCTTTGCTGCCCTTCTCAGAGATACTTCAGCCTTCACCTCCGATCTGCCACCTCTTCATTCAGGAGATCACTCTTTCGCTTCCTTGTGTCCCTCACAATTTTCTCCTCACGTCCAAAAGAGGCTGTTTCAGGCACACCGCAGTGGATATGCTAATGTCCTGCTTATTCATTCATTTTTTTTTTCAAGCACAAGTTAATATTATTATTGTTTTATGCAAATAAATTTAATTTATATTTACCACAGGTTTACTAGTTTCTTGACTCTTTTTTTCTTGCACCTTAGAACTTCTATCTACAATTTCCTTCTGCATGAAGAACAAATCTCTGAATTTCCTATAAAGAAAGTGCGCTGGTGAGAAATTCAGTTTTTGCTTATTTAAAAATATCTTTATTTACTTTCATCTTGAAAGATACTTTTCCTGAGTATGGCATTCTTGGTTGGCAGTTATTACATCAAATTGAGATTAATATTTCACTATCTTCTGGCTTCTATTGCTGCTCCTGAGAAGTCAACTTTAGACTAGCTCTTATTCTTTTAAAGGTAATAAAACTTTTTTTCCTCTGGCTGTAGTTAAGGTTTTCCTCTTTGTCTATGATGTTGTACAGTTTTACTATAATGTATCTAGGGATAGGCATCTTTGTGTTTATCCTTTTGGGATTCATTGAGCCTTTTAAAACTGTGGCTTTGCAAATCTCAGATGTTCTACGAATTTGCAGCACCTAGCTCTTTAGATATTATCTCTGGCCCATTTTCTCCTCTCATTTGAAGACACATTGAAGCTGTCAGCCCCTATCACTCAGCCCTTTGCAACTCTTACCTTTTCTTCTGTGCTTCCCATCACTTTGTCACTCAGTACTGCATACTATACAATTTCTTCTGGCCTATCTACCAGTCTACTAATAATTTCTTCAGTTATGGCTAATCCCCTGATAAATAATTGAGATCATTTCAGTTATGACATTTTTATTTCTAGGAGTTTTCCGTTTGGTTCTTTCATCAAATTGTGATGTCTTTTTTTTATAGTATCCTATTATTTGAAGTCATTTTCACACTGGTCTTCTATTTCTTCAAGCATATTAAATACAGCTGTTTTATAGGCCTGATAATCCAATATCTAAAGCCTTTGTAAGACTTTTCCATTTTGTTTTTTGCTTGTTTGTTTTTATCAGTTCTTACTCATGTCAATTTGTTTTCTTGTATACTTGGCTATCTTTGGCAGTGTGCTGATTTTTGTACTTGAAAAAAAAAATTGTAGGAATGATCTCAGTATTGTTCTTCATAGAATACTTTTTTTTCCGTCAGGTGCCCAAGAGAACCATCATTCCAGAACTACCTTGTATTGTCTTCTACAAGACTCCTCACCATGTTTGAGCCCAGATTCTTAATTCTGCACTACACATCTCACACCAAAACAGTAGGTTAAATGTGTAAGGATACCCTCAGGAGGTAAAAAGCTTCCGTGGTCAGCTTTCCTTTCAAGATTTCTGGTTCCTCTTCAATTTCTCTTGTCAGGTCTTTGATGTTTTAAGAATTTTTCATGGGTTAATCTGCATAATCTAGAAACAAAGACATTTGAGTGAGATGGGATTGGGATTTTGCATTATTCAATATTACTAGGATCATGAAACTAAGGATATTTAAAAATACAACCAATTGAATTACATTTTTTACATAGCTTTAGCTGATTTCTGGCCCCAAATTATGAGGATTTTCTTCAGAGATGATAAAATATGATTTTAGGTAATAAAGGAAAATGAAAATATTTATAGTTATGTACAACCAAATATGACAGATAATATATATATTTGAAGAATATTTTGGCTTATAGATTTAGCTCAAATTCTTTGTCTTTAATGTCTCCAAGGTATCTCATTATACAGTAAAACCATACTTACTTTGTTATTGACCTATCACCAACCATTACATTTTCTAGTTTTCCATTTTTTCACTATAATAACTAACACTGTATTATATTTGTTAGTATATGAATCTGTGTGAGATTCTAATACTTTGTAGTGAAATTAGTCGATCAAAGAGTGTAAACAGGGCTTTTGACCAATATGGAGAAATCACCAGACACCAGTGAGGTGTCTCCAATTTATACTCTCCAGCAATAAGACCTGAGTTTTTATTTTAACAATCCTAACTAACATGACTTATTAACAGCAAAAAATATATTCACTTGCTTATTGGAAAAGTATAAAAAGAAGAGAGTGAGGGGATATTTTATTGCTTTAATTCTAGTTTCTTTCATTATCATGACCTTAAACTTTTTGTCTCAGCTTATTAGCCATTCACATTTTTCTCATAAATTATCTGTTTACAACCTCTTTTATTTCTAAATTTGGATATATATCATATTCCTATTAACTTATTATAATACTTTATAAATTACACATATTGACCCAGTGCCTTTTACATAATTTACAAATATTTTTATACTTTGCCTTTTAGGTTGATTTATAATACTTTATCACATAGATAAGTTTGTAGTCAAATATTCTAATTTTTTCTCCATGGTTTCAATAATGATGATTGATTGTTGAGAATATCCACTTATATAATGCATTATGCCAATAATTTTTGTAGACTCAGAACTGCCAGAACAATCTTGAAAAAGAACAAAATTGGACAGCTTATACTTCTTAATTTTGAAGGCTGCTACAAAGCTATAGTAATCAAGAGAGTGTGGTACTAACATAAGGATGAGTATATTGATCAATGGACTAGGATTAAGTGTCCAAAAACAAACCCTTACAGTTATGGTCACTTGATTTTAGACAAGGGATTCAAGACAATTAAATGGGGGAAACAGTAGTTAGGGTCTAGTTTAGTCTTTTTAACAAATAGTGTCAGAAAAAATCCACACATAAAAGAATAAAGTTGGACCCTTTTCTCATCATACACAAAATTAGTCCAAAATAGATCAAAGACATGAATGTAAGAGATTAAACTATAAAACTCTTAGAAAAAAACATAGAAGTAAATCTTCATGAACTTGGGTTGGGCAATGAATTTTTAGATACAATGCCACCAAAATTACAGACAACGACAAAAAATATAGATAAACTGGACTTCATCAAAATTAAAAATTCTTGTGCTGCAAATGATATCAAGAAAATGAAGAAACAATGCAAAGAATGGGAGAGAATACTTTTAAATCATATGTCTTATAATGGACTTGTATCTAGAATATATAAGGAAATCTTAAAGCTCAATAATGAAAGATATAGCTAGGTGTGATGGTGCATGCCTGTAGTTCCAACCACTTGGAAGGCTGAGGCAAAAGGATCTCTTAAGCCCAGGAGTGTGAGGTTGCAGTGAGCTATGATGATGCCACTGCAGTCTAGCCCTGGGGGACTACAGTGAGAGCCAAATCCTGTCTCAAAAAATAATAACAATGATAAGACAAATAATCCAATTGAAAAATTGGTAGAGTATCTGAACATATATTTTTCCAAAGACAATATACAGATGGAACTGGAGAGCATTATATTAAGTGAAATAGCCAAGCACAGGAAGACAGATCTCATATGTTCTCACTCATATGTGGGAGCTAAATATTAAAAACAATTGATCTCATGGACACAGAGAGTAGAATGATGGTTACCAGAGGCTGGGTAGGGTAGCAGAGCAGGGGGTGGGGGAATAAAGTGGGGATGGTTAATGGGTGCAAAAATATAGTTAGATAGTTAGAATGAATAATATTTGATAGCACAACAAAGTGAATATAATCAACAATAATTTAGGGTATACTTTAAAATAACTAAAAGAGTGAAATTGGAATGCTCCTAACACAAGAAAATGATAAATGCCTGAGTTGATGGATACCCCAATTACTCTAATCTGATTAATTCATATTTTATGCCTGTGTCAAAACATTACATGTACCCTATAAAAATACATGACTATATGTACCAATAATAATTAAAAATTAAAAATAAAAATAAAACAACAAAAAAAGCAAAGAAGCTATACAAATGGTCAATAAGTAACTGAAAAGATGTTCAACATTATTAGTCATTAGGAAATGCAAATCAAACCATACAGCTGCACACACACTAGGATGGTTATAATCAAAAAGACAAAGATGTGGATGAAATTGGAACCCTCATCCACCATTGATGATAATTTAAAATGGGGCAGATGCTTTGGTCTGGAAATCCCTCAATATTTTAAACATAGAGTTACCATATGACCTAGAAATTCTACTTCTAGAGATATACTCAAGAGAAATGAAAACATATGTTCACACAATGACATGCACATGAATGTTCACAGCAGCATAACCAAAAAGCAGAAACAACCCACATGCCCACCAACTGATAAATGGATAAACAAAATGTAGAATAGCCATACAATGAAATATTATTTGAGTATAAAAGGAAATGAAATACTGATACGTGCTATAATATGGATGAACCTTGAAAACATTATGCTAAGTGAAAAACTCCAGACACAGAAGACAACATATGAAATCTTCAGAATAGGCAAATATATAGAGATGGAAAGTATATTGGAAGTTACCAGAAGATAGAGGGAAGTGGAAATGGGGAGTGATCACAAATAGTCATGGTGCTTCCTTTTGGAATGATGAAAAAGATTAAAATTAGATTGTGGTAATGGTTGTATAATTCAGTAAATATATTTTTTAAAAACCATTGAATTCTTTAAATAGGTAAATAGTATGTATGTGAATTACATTTCAATAATGATATTAAAAATAAATACTGGAAAGTAAGTTGATAAAATTCTAAATCTACTCATAACAGAAACAAATCGTTGTAAAGTAGGATTTAATAATTCTTTAACTAATAGACAATATCAAACCAAGATTATATTTCAGCACATTTAATAGTAAAATGCTGGAGGCAACTTCATTAAATAGATAAAAAGATGCACTAATACTTAACATATTTCTGGAATATTGAACCAGTACAATAAAACAAGAAAAAGAAATTAGATATATATTTTCAACATGTAAAAGTGACATTTTTGTATATATACAATTCAATAGCTTAAGAAAAGAAGAAATATACATTCTACACAAGTTTATTAAAAAAAATAGAAGTGATGGGAACACTCCCCAACTCATTTCATAAGGCCACCATTACCCTGACTGCAAAACACAATGAAGACATTACAAGAAAAAAAAATTATAGTACAAGTACCCTCAAAATACCCTGAAATAAAAAAATAAATAAAAAATTAAAAAGTGATAAAAAAGATCTTGTGAATTAGTTGTAGAAATTCTTAACAAATTATTAAGAAATCAAAAGCAGCAATAAATTTAAAAATAATTCATCATTATCAAGAGAGATTTATCTCAGAAATTCAAGGTTGGCTCATTATTCAAATATTAATAAAAATCAATATAATTCACTATATCAACAGACTAAAGACAAAATATGATTATCTCAATAGAAGTACAAAAGGCACTTAACAAAATCTAATAATTTTTCATGTTTAAAAACTCTCAAGAAACTAAGAATAGAAGGAAACTTCCTTATCCTGATAAGAGGCATCTTCCAAGAAAATCTGGAATTAACATAATTCTTAATGGTGAAAAGACTAAAGGATTAAGTCCCCTAAGTTTGGGAGTAAAACAAGATGTCTTCTCTCACCACTCTTCTTAAACATCATACTAAAGGTCCCAGTTAGTGCAATAAGGCAAGAAAACTGAATAAAAAGTATACGGATTGAAAGGAAAAACCAAAATTGTCTCTACTTATAGATAATATAATATAACTACTAGAATTAATATGTGAGTTTAGCAAGGATATACAAAAAATTAATTTTATTTCTATATACTAGTGATGAATTATTTGAGACTGAATATTCTCAAAATATAATAAATATCATATAATAAGTATATGTGTTTTTAAAAATATGTGCTTACTCTGCCGAAAACTAAAAACCACTGCAAAAGAAGACCTAAATGAATGAAGATGTATACATGTTCATGGATTAGAAGATTTTATATCATTAAGATTTCTAATCTTTCCAATTGTCTATAGATTTAACAAACTCCCATAAATTTCCAGGACATCTTTTTTTTTTTTTCCATTGCTCAGAAAGAATGTACAGCGTAGGAGATTCGTAAACTCTTTTGAATTACATATTCTTCAGGAGAAGGTTAAAAATTTTAAGACAGAAAGAAACGAACGAGAGCACTTTAATGCAAGAGGACATGAGCAGGGCGAAACAGGTCTCTATGATTTGTAGTATTAAGGAATTTCAGAGCCAATCTCTTAGAGAGCACCTTGTCCAACTCTCTAGTATTGTAAATAAGGAAACTGAGGCAAAGAGAGCTGATGTAGCTTGATAAGTCATAGAGCCTCACAATTTTTGACAAGGTCCAGAGAAAGATAAATTCTCCTGACTACCTATCCAAGTACTTTTCCAAAAACATTCCATTATATTTTTGTAAAGAGTTATTTCTACCTGCCTGGAATGCCTTGAATCTTGGGACCATGAATCTTTGTCATTCTTCAGCATTTGTAAACAGTAGGAAAGCAATAAAATGATAGGAAATTGAGTTTAAAAATGTACAACA